TTGAGCCGCTGAGCGACAGCTTCTAGAACAATTAAAATACATTACGAACAGCAACATGGGATTTACCGTCACCGGGATAGAGGAAAAGACAAGGCTGTATAAAGGCAAGGGTTTTTTAGAATGTTACACTTTTGCTATCTGCAGTGGGAAGTGGTACTTAGGTCATTTTGTTTGGTATGAAGGGGTAAATGGTCTAAAAGGTTTTGGAATCTCACCATTATACCCATAAAGGTGTGTTTTCAGTTCATATGTGAAAGTATCTGTAATGAGAGCAGTGACTCTGAAGCCCACGGTGGGTAAAACATTACTATCTATGTCACTACAATAAGGGCTTTCATTTAATAATGCTATCTAGTTGTGAGTGATACTACAAAGTAATTAATATCCTAAGTGGTTGCATTTACTAGACAAGAACAAAAAAGCCACGTCCAATTCAATGCCAGCTTTTTAATGAATGGTGGGCCAGCGGCTGAGATTTGAGGGCGGGCTCAGAGTTCACATGAATGTTAAATACTTGATGTGGTCTTAAAGGGGAATCCCCTCAAGGTTTAACCGTCTTCAGATGCCTCAGGCTTTCATGCATTCGCTAAGACTTATCTAGGTTTAGAATCCCATTTCTAATACGATTTCTATTTTTTAACCCCAGCTACTGTTTCTGAATAATTTTCACCCTTTCTTCCTTACTTCAAATGGAAGAGGTCTCTTTAAATATATATTCACCTTTCCAGCATTTATATTTTTACTGACTCCCCCTTATTAATCCTCAACATACTTTTGGATTCCCTTTGAACTTTGGACTAGATTTTCAAGTGTTTTTATATAACATTAAATACTTTCAACTAGATAAACGATCTATACATTTTGGTTTTGTTGACCAACTAATATTAAATTGTACTTTTTATAAAAATCGATGAGTTCCCTCAAATAGCAGAGCCCTAACTGACAAAACTAACAGTATACATGTTTTATCAATGGTCAAGTACATCATCATTGATTCCATATTTTCAGTGACTTCTGTTTGAGTCTGAGCCAAAAATAAGATGCTTGTTAAACTGCAACTCTAGAAGGCCGAGCAATAAAGAAGGAATTTAAAGATGAACTGAAGTTGAACTGTCGGCTAATTCTAAATTTAACATATGACCATTTGTGTTTCATGCCAGTTTAAACTAAAAGTCGCACTCATTAGATTCTCAAAAAACATACAGTTGCAAGAAAAAGTATGTGAACCCTTTGGATTCTCCACACGCGTTGTGTGTTCCTTCCAAACAACTCAACTTTGGTTTCATCTGTCCACAGAATATTTTGCCAGTAGTGCTGTGGAACATCCAGGTGCTCTTTTGCAAACTTCAAACGTGCAGCAATGTTTTTTCTGGACAGCAGTGGCTTCCTCCGTGGTGTCCTCCCATGAACTCCATTCTTGTTCAGTGTTTTACGTATCGTAGATTCGTCAACAGAGATGTTAGCATGTGCCAGAGATTTTTTTAAGTCTCTAGCTGACACTCTAGGATTCTTCTTCACCTCATTGAGCATTCTGCGCTGTGCTCTTGCAGTCATCTTTACAGGACGGCCACTCCTAGGGAGAGTAGCAACAGTGCTGACCTTTCTCCATTTATAGACAATTTGTCTTACCGTGGACTGATGAACATCAAGGCTTTTAGAGATACTTTTGTAACCCTTTCCAGCTTTATGCAAGTCAACAATTCTTAATCGTAGGTCTTCTGAGAGCTCTTTTGTGCGAGGCATGGTTCACATCTGGCAATGCTTCTTAAGAATAGCAAATTCAAAACTGGTGTGTATTTTTTATAGGGCAGGGCAGCTTTAACCAACGCCTCCAATCTCGTCTCATTGATTGGACTCCAGGTTGGCTGACTCCTGACTCCAATTAGCTCTTGAAGAAGTCTTTAGCCTAGGGGTTCACATACTTTTTCCACCCTGCACTGTGAATGTTTACATGGTGTGTTCAATAAAAACATGAAAACATATAATTGTTTGTGTGGTATTAGTTTAAGCAGACTGTGTTTGTCTATTGTTGTGACTTAGATGAAGATCAGAACACATTTTATGACCAACTTATGCAGAAATCCAGGTAATTCCAAAGGGTTCACATACTTTTTCTTGCAACTGTAGAATATAGAGTAACAGTCCTCGATACAGCTGCTCTGGTCTAATTTTGTGGGAATTAAACCACGTTCCTCATTAGGGCCTCTAAGCCAATGTAACATGAAGACATCACGTCCAAAGCACCAATTATAACCCCCTCCCTCTCTTTTTTCCTCTTTCCTTACCGCTTTCATTTTTCCTCCCGCTATCTGTCTCTTCATCTTTTCGCTTCGATGGGCCTGCCATTCTATTAATCTCAGCGACAGATTGCCTCTATTAATTAGTCTACATCTCCCATCTTGCATGTAATAATCAGATGTAATAGAGATATTAGGAAGATACGGTTATTTCTGCAGCCACTATCGCTTTTAATTAGCCCGAAGATGAAGAGATAGATTCGCTCCTGCCTGGCTGACGTCCAGACAGACAGCGCAAGGTCTTTTTATCGCCACAAAGTTCTGTGAGGACACGTATTCAGCAGCAAATATAATGTGTCAGTTTGCAAAATATATCTGTTCCAACATGTCTCACAGGACACTTCACATAGTGAGGGTTTATAATGCATCACTGTAGACAAAACACATTTCAAGCTTTTCAGAATTCTTATAATTTCTCACAGACACACACATAAGTTACACAGCACACACAGAGGTCATAATAATGTGTGCTTCTCTAATTCAAATGTATCTGCATTGCCATTTAATTTTAAATGATGGGGGTCATACTGTAGGCTCAACGACATAATTGAGAAAATGTCTATACAGCATGTCGGTAGTTAATTGGAAGGGCCAAGGTGCACTAAACAGACAAGGAGAACAGACATGGGTAATTACCGGTGGTGTGTTAAAATGTGTGTGCGCTCACATGTGTGTCACCGTGTGAGAGTCAGTGCTTTCGCTTAGAGGTAATTACACCCTAGACTATAAATAAAGAATACCAACTCCTGTCGCTACTTCTCCCTGCTGACACACGGAGTCGTTTTTTCCTGATCTCATCGCTAATGTTGTGATTTTCCGGCTACCGTGCTGGACAGAGTAACTAGAGCTGACCTCTGCAGCATTCATGTATCTCACTCTATAAAACACTTTGCCGCTGCAAGCACTGTCCTGACGCTTCCTCGGGGCAAGGAGCTCATCCAGTTTAATGGTTGATGTTCCTGGACCGCTCCCTACACACCCGTTATTCACCCTTACCCTGTCAGAGCACTGCCTACAGGGCACACATAATGAAGAGAATATAAATGTAACAACACTGCAGAGCACATAATTAAACCATTTTCTATTACGGTGCTCAGTATCACATTTAAAGAAAAACACTGCTGCCAGGTTTTTAAGGACCCAGCTGGCTCCCAGTGGGATGCTCAGGTCTACATGGTGTTACTGGTCAGACAGTTTTACCACTGACTACATTTTAACAAACCATTTTTCTCCAGGGAATCTTGAAGGAGACCTTATAACAATTCAACCCAGGGACTGTAATCCTTATCCAAGTTGCTATTGGCTGTACTGTGCAGCTTTACAGCATTATTATCATCCTGCCAGTGTTCAGAAACCTATGCAAAGAGGGGGAATGGTGGGTCTTTAAGCATTTCTAAGCTTGCAAAAATTGAGTGTCAAAATTCAAATTTAGGGTGGTAGGGAAAGCTTTGGGATTGTTAGTCACTACAGCCCAGTAGGAAAAAAAAGGTTGGAGAAGTAATGAGAGCAGTCAGAGCAGAGCTTAGTGAAGACTGTAAAATGACTCTATAGAGTTGGAGAGATGAATATATTTATCACAAAGAAGGCAAAACATGACATATTTGAGTCCACTATGTCCTATTCTGGATTTTAATACCACATCTTTGTAATAGAAGTAAATTAAGTCAGACAAAGACAACTCCTAACACTATTCCTACAAAGTCCTCCTCCTTACCTACAAGTCCCTCCATGCCCTTGCCCCCCAGTACCTATCGGACCTATCCTTCACCCACATGCCCCCACCCCGGAACCTGCGGTCCTCAGACTGCGAACCTTCGGGGAAAGAGCCTTCAGTGTGGCAGCCCCCACCCTCTGGAACGCTCTCTCTGCGGAGATTCGCAACATCCCCACACTTGACGCCTTCAAAAGGGCCCTCAAGTCCCATCTGTTTGCCAAGGCTTTCGGCCCCTAAATCGATCTGTTGTTTTGTCTGTCTGACTTTTGTTTTGTTATGTTTGTTTTTGCCCTATTACTTGTAAAGCGACCTTGGGTCCCTTGAAAGGCGCTATATAAATCCAAGCTATTATTATTATTATTATTATTATTCTTCAACATGGATGTCTGAAAAGTAACTTGTAATTGAATTGTAAGTAATTGATTATGTAGTTAAGAATAGGAACACTTTGAACCACTGCAACATTAACATGCTCATAACCCATTTGTGTATCATGAATGCAGCACTTTGAGAGGACCCATACTTTTGACTTCATATATATAATCTTGATGATTCGATATAACTTTGTAACGATTACCTGTTGGTTTGGAAAAATGTACATTATAATTAAAACCATAATTAAATGAAACTCTAACTCCATGTTAAGTGAGCGTTATCACATTATGTTTAAATATTTAAATATATATATATATATATATATATATATATTTAAATATATATATATATATATACGTTTATTGCTAAGTAAGGAGCAGGAACTCAAGCCAAAGCCTCAGGCCACTGTTCTCAAGACTGGAGCCAACATCATCTGAGAGAAGATGTTCTGACAGAGAGGATCAACATGTATTTGGGATGAACTGTCGTGTGCAATCTGTCACTCTAAAGGGAAATCTAAATTGAGATGAGATGCATGCTTACGCACCTCTAACACTGTATTCCATTCTGCATTTTTATCATATTTACTTATGTTTGGTCCTGTGTTTGTGTAGTCTCAGATGAAGATGAAGTCTGCGGGCGTGGTGGACGGAGGCTTGTTCACAGAGAGCTACTGTAACATCTGCAATGCCCAGCTCATCTCTGAGTCCCAGCGCACCGCTCACTACGAGGTGAGTCCGTCTCCACTTACACACGAATGTTTGACAACAACTGAATAAAACAAAATGCTGCGATGAACACTGCTTTGATGAGCAGATTTCTTATTGGTGCGCTTTGCATCAGTCTTATTTGTACTTTTGCTATTGTGCTCATCCATTATACATAGACTTAATGCTGCATGGTAATGTTAGTCATTTGCACAAACAAACACGCAGATTTTTTGTTTTAATGTAGTCTACCTCTCAGCAGTCTCCCTTTGAGCAATTTAATGAAAAGCCATCCAATAATCAGCCCTGTGCAATGTTTAACTAGGGTGTGTGTGTGTGTGTGTGTGTGTGTGTGTGTGTGTGTGTGTGTGTGTGTGTGTGTGTGTGTGTGTGTGTGTGTGTGTGTGTGTGTGTGTGTGTGTGTGTGTGTACTGCATTGAGGTTGTCCTTGATTACAAGACACAATTGAGATTAACAAGCAGACTAATGAGGACAATACCCTTATCAGGAGAGAATTAAGCGTGCATGCATGTGTACCAACCACATTCACTTCAAAGTATTTCTGCATTGCAACTTTCCTCCAACAAAAACACACAGCCTTGATCTGTGCAGAGAGTAGGCCAGCTCAGTTTATGTTCTCAGTGTCACCTTTACTTTCTATAGAGGTCAGTAAACCAAGGAGAGAAGACAATACATAATTTGAAGGCAGGGAGAGTGGGAGTTTGCATCTTAGATTCAATACAAATAAAGGGCAATCAAAAGGCAGCTTTAATTGTAGAGCACTTTCCATACAGAGGGTAACATAATATGTTAGACAACAACAGCAGGTCAAAGAAAGGACAACTTTAATGTGGGATGATTTAAGGAAGAGGATTCTGGAGTCGATGCTAATCAGGACTAAGGCAGTAATACACCTGAACAATTCGATCTATGATAAAAACACCGAAAGAATAACTGTTGTACTTCAGCAGGTTTGTACAACAATTAGCAATAACAGCTTGCTTACAACTACCATTCATAAACTGGCTTGCATAGATGGACTACAACAACTAACACAAATGTTAACTGTGAACAATGGGTCCTTTAGCAAGTGAAATATGAATCTACTTGTCAATATGAAAAATAAATGTTATCCCTGTCTCCACTGCGTAACACATTTGGAAACAAATAAAATGTGTTCTGTGTTGTTGGTAGCTCTAAAAAAAAAAAAAAGAGAGAGAGATTGACTGCCTTAAGAAGAAATGTTTTCACCAATATTTTCTTATTTGGGATTTGTTTTTAAGAACATAATCTAACCACATGCAAGTGCAGACATATGATATGCACATTTGAGCCCTGTTTGTGCAAAATAGATGGAACCTGCATGTTCTTTAATCCTACAGTTATGTAGTATTGGATTACAATTTGAATATTAAACCGTTAAACAGAGAAAAACCTGTCCTGTGTGTCTCCTCCAACTGGATTTGACACTGAGGAAAACAGCGGCAGAAGAGACGGAGACAGATCCTTTAGAGAAGGGCAGGCGTTGAGGGTTAGTGCGGGGTAACCATGGTGACACAAGGTCCCACTTTTAGCCCGTATCCCGGAGCCATCGACTGCATGACCATTTATACACCTATAAACACAAGCATACACTCAGACACACCAACACACACAAGCACTGAAAAAATGCATTAAAGTAGTCTGACAAGTGCGGAGGCATGGGGCGGGCGGGGGGGATTTATTCTCCCCGGGGCAGACGATCCAATCTAAGCACTGAGGCAGCCAGTCCAGAGTCTTGTCACTCTCCCATGCAATTTCTTTGTGCCGTTCTCAGCCATTATATACATTTAAACGTATACTTTTCCACCGATCAACAGCAAAGTGTTTCCTTCACATGTCATTTCAGTTCTGGCGGATAAAGCCATTTTTTCTTTTTTTATATATGGTTTGTCACTTTTAATCAATTCCATCATCAATGTTCAACCTTGAAGCTTTGTAACCCCAATTATATCCCTGCATTGTCATATCATAATTTATATTTGACTCAATATGTGACGGTATAGATTCGATTTCTTACTTGCTTCTGGAAAATTGTCGCAGCACTGGAATTTATAGATAATAATAGTTGTCACATTGTAGAAAGGAGTGAAGGTCACAGAGCATGACAATAAAAGGATATGTATAGAACCACACACACACACACACACACACACACACACACACACACACACACACACACACACACACACACACACACACACACACACACTAATCTTTACCCTGCAGCATGTCCAGTGATTTTCATTGTTCTGAAATAAAGTGAGAGTTAGCAGCTTCAAGGACAGCTCACTTATCACAGCTTATAGAGAAAAGGCAAGTAGTTTATTTATATAGCACCTTTCAACACAAGGCAATTCAAAGTGCTTTACAAAAAACGAAAGACATTAAGAAAATGGCATTTAAAATCAGTCATTAAAAAGAAAAGATAATAAAAGAAACATTAAAAGAAAAAATACAACTTAAAAGTTACAGTGCAGTTTAAGATGTGAATAGTTCAATTAAAAGCAGCGACAAAAAGAAAAGTCTTTAGTCTGGATTTAAAAGTAGTCAGAGTTGCAGCGGACCTGCAGATTTCTGGAAGTTTGTTCCAGATATTTGGAGCATAATAACTGAACGCTGCTTTACCGTGTTTAGTTCTGACTCTGGGGACAGAAAGCTGACCAGTCCCTGAAGACCTGAGAGATCTGGATGGTTCATAATTTAGCAGGAGGTCAGAAATGTATTTTGGGCCTAAACCATTCAAAGAAAACAAAAACACCCACAGCCAGGTGGGCCGAAAACACAACAATATCAATGAAGCAGCACGAACACTAACAGTTCAAAGTACTTGAACTGTAAAGCTCACTAATAGCTTTTTTATATTGTACACTCATATATTCCAATTATAATCATATCTTAAATGATATTAATCATGATTCCCCAAAAGGGCTCTTTGCCTTTCTATTTCACAAAGCCACTAGGATATCATTGTTTACATTTTACTGCCCTCTAAACGATTGCCTCACTTCATTTAGCACTTTACAGAGCCAGTGTGCACAGGTGAAATAAAGAGCCCTCGCACCACTCTCCCTTCCCCAACATCTGACTCAGGGCTCCCAAAAAGCTGAGGCTGGCCCGGACCATTAGTCACCTAGCCGGGAGCAAAACCGTCTGCTAGCATCATCAACTGCAGCAGAGATAAAAGCTTGGAGGAAATGGCCGAGGTGGAGTGACAGTCATTGATTTTGGTTTTCACTTGGCTCAGTTGATAAAATAAATCTCAGTTCACTGTCTGACACTCTTACTCTCTCTTACTGTCTTTTTCTCAGAGCAAGAAGCATGCCAACAAGGTACGTCTGTTCTACATGCTTCACCCAGAAGATGGAGGACCCCCTTCCAAGAGACTGCGGCCAGATAACCCAGTAAGCTCCCTGCATGTGTGTGTTTCTGTGTCTGTGTTGCGTCTTTCATACAATGCTATTTACATTTGATCTCGACTTTCAAGCTAAACATGTAGTATTAGTGCATGGAATTACCTTAAAGATGTAATGTTTTGTGGTACAATCTCAAGCTGAAATAACTCTGAAGATGTGTTGGGAAACACAATGATCTGCATGCTGAAATGTGTGAATGTGTGGCTTTATGCTGTAGTTGACAAACAGAGTTGACTTGTCTTTGTCTAATCCTTTCCTGGGCCTGTCCACTCTCTGGCTCGGCCATTGCAGCTCATGGGAATATTTGTTTGATCTATTGTCTGCACTTGTGCGTTATAATTCTCCCAAAAGAGGTTTTGCCTGGTGTTTCTGGCTAGATTTAGTGAGTGCAGACGCCACCAAGCAGCATTTTATCGGACTATTGCAGGCTTTGGCTAGGGAGGTCAGTGCATTGCTGATATTTGTGAGTCTGTCTTTGTGTTGTAGGTTTGAAATTGTTTTGTTGTTCTCTTTTCTGCAACTGTAGCCAAAGCTGAGGTTGCATTTGTATCCACAGTTAGTTGATGGAGCAAAAAAGGCCATTTAGTGTTGATTCAATGTTGACTTTGGATATGTGCATCTTTGTGTGTTTGCGTCGGTGAAAAGAAATGTGGCTATTGTATCCAGGGAGCTTTACTATAGTGCATTGTGTGCTCCATTTCTCAGGCAAGCCCATAAGTCCCACATGGCATAATACACACATACACAATACATTTACTTTGAGGACACAGCTGGTGGAAAAATAAAGCTTATCAAACTAACTGACAAATCAGAGAGAGTGGAGAGAGAGAGAGAGAGGAAGAGGTGGAGCGGCTCTAAAAACGGCACAGTACCACAGCCAAGACCCTGAGCCCACGGCCAATTAGCTTTGAACAGCAATGACCCTCTGTCCTCCAAAGACAGGACATTCATAATAAAAACTCAAATATTTGCAAACATTAAGTATAAGTGATTTCAGGCTGCCCTTCATAAATAGGCAATGAACCATTTTGAACCCTGACAAATTATGTGTGTGATTTTTGACTCCATCCTCTCACCCAGCATATGTATAAAGTCTCATTGAATAACTCTATTAGTCTAGATGCTGAGAATATTTCCAAAATAGATAAAGAACTGTAAGCCATTAACATCCAGGTCATGCTCGAAAAGAACTAGTGTTTATTGCTATTACCGCCGCACTTGAAGGCAGAGTGACAAGCCAGTCTTCATAGAGAGAAGAGAGGCGATAATTGCTTAAATATGCGGATAAAAGCAACACATATGTTGACAGTCGCTCCTGAAAGGCATTCATACTTTTGCAATCGTTTTGACACATGAAAGTTGCATAAAGAGTTTTAGGTGAGCTTTAGAGAAATTCAAAACTGTTTGAAATGTTGAACAATCGCTTTGTGAAGGGTGTGAATGTTGGATTGAAAGTAGTGGAAATTGTCAGACACAGCTTCCTTATACCGAGCAAGGAAAATGATGGGGGGAAGCAGGTTTATAAATCTTTTCAGAATAATGTAATAGTGTAAAACTCTGGAAATGGGCATTAATGTTTCTTAGTTCACCCATGTTCCTTAGTGCACTTAGATGTATTAAATTCAAACTATTGGGCATGTCAAAGGCGCATGGGTTTACAACTGTACTGTAGGAACACACCTGCGTCTTCATCTGTCTGCCTAAGTGAATAAGACATGACTCAGCCCCCTCATACGGGACACTGAACAGACCATGTGCACGCTCATGTACACACTCACCTCATCTGCCATACAGTAACGCACCGTGACCGCCTCAGCTAGCAATTTGCTCGTAACCTTTCACGCAGAGATGTGACATTGATTATCCGACAATGCTGCAAAACTGATTGAAGATGGAAGCTCCTCCACAGATGAAATTCTCATCATACAACTTGGGATTTTCGTCTTTCATCTTGTTCTCTTATCTCCCAGTTTTCTAATCTTTTTTTCTTACACTTTATTTGAGTATTTTTGCCCTCTGTTCTCTTACTGATTGACATGCTGCATTCCAATGGGAACAGCAGAGAAAGATTTTCCCAGAGTGAATGAAATGCCAGCGTCTACCCAGTGCAAAATGCCATGCCTTGAAGTGTGTGTGTGTGTGTGTGTGTGGTGTGTGTGTGTGTGTGTGTGTGTGTGTGTGTGTGTGTGTGTGTGTGTGTGTGTGTGTGTGTGTGTGTGTGTGTGTGTGTGTGTGTGTGTTGTGTGGTGTGTGTGTGTGTGTGTGTTGTGTGTGTGAGAAAGTGTCAGAGAACAAACAGAGAAAGTAGGTCATAAAGGTGCTCCCAGATGAAAGGGGAGGGGACTTTATCCGTTTTTTCCCCCCGATTTTCCACCATGCTCTTTCTCCGTCTGTGCAGTTTTTTACCTGCGCAAAGGGCAAGAGATAACAAAATGTGTTTTTTCTCGCCTATTATTTTCCTCTAATGCTATATCTGCACTCTGGGTCCTTTTAATTTACACTTTCAGCACTCCTTCAAATTCCAAATGAGAGCGTCTGTTTCCTGTGCTGCTCAATGTGTATATTTAGAAATGTTTCCCACAGCGCCTCGACACAGAGCAGTTGGAGAAGTAAGGAGGAGCAGAGAGAAAGCAAAACAGAAGGAGAGGAAGATTAACACAGCTAATTAGGAGTCTATTGTTAGCTGCACGAGCAACATGAAACCAACCCAACACCAAATATTCTGCGATACACAGGCATCACTAACAGGCTGTGGATACACAGGCAGACATGCAGCATTGCACACACAAACAGAAACACACTCGACAATTAGGTCGCATGCAAATCAGTCTCAACCGATGTGCGAGGTGCGACAGGTAGAAGCAAACTAGAAAGGAAAATTGAAACGAGCAGAGGCAGGAATCTAGAAAACTAAAATGAAGAAACAGAAAGGTTGATGACTTTCAGCGGAGAGCGAAGATGGAGGAAAACAGTGAGTCAGAGATGCTGTTTATTGTTTGAAGTGGCGTAGTGGAGTGGCAGCTGTAATGAGATGACACTTATTCATATGTCATTCACCCACACACTCGAGATTGTTTAAAACCTTCCCCGCACTGTCACTAAATCCCTCGTGTAACATTGTCATTGAGCGACAGGATTTGTTCTACCGTCTTCTTTCATGAAGACGCTTCTTTGTGTTTTAGTCCCTTTGCGGTCGACTGATGCTTTTACTTTTCAGTGTGTTTTGACAGGTGAGACCACTACATGCTGCCACTGAGACTCATCTCAGCCGCTTTGTCCGGAGTAAAACAAAAAATGCAGTTTTGGGACATTGGCTCACTGTGGTTGATTTCCCCCATCCTGGTACAACAACATGTCAGTAGAACAAGATCTCAGCAGCGCTGCCCAGGGGAGAGAATAAGTAGACAAAGTAGGCGAGGGGGGGAAGTGTATAGGGAAAGAGCAAAAGGATGACTAGTGAAAAAGACAAGAGGAGGAGCAGAACGTACACATTAGAGAGGAGATGGAACAGAACAAGGGGGAGATGGTAATGAGGAAGCGGGGGAAATGTAGGTGAAAAGGATGTAATGGAGGAGAGGAGAGGAGACTTGTCCTCATGGGTGCTGACTATGATTAATGAAGACTATGAGTTAAGTATAGGGAAGCCATATTTACTTAACATATTGTAGATCAAAACAAAACTTGCCTTTATCTTCATTTGGCAACCTGAGACAATGCTTCATAATAAAGCACACCAAAATGAATTTGTAGTGACTGAGAAGGAGAGGGAAATTGAGTTTACTGGTGGAGATGGGGGGGGTGGACCAGTTCATAGCTAGCTCTTAACATGATCACAGCGGGGACAGACACAGGGGAGGAGTGGAGGCGAGGTGAGAGGGAGGAGGAGTGGAGGTGGCGAGGGCCTGCCAATATAGATAAATATTTCATCCCACAACACACAGAGTCACTGAGACTGGTGCCCAGAGGGGGGGGGGGGGGGGGGGGGGGGGGGGGGGGGACAGAGAGGGAGGGAGAGAAAAGGCAAGGCAATGACAAAAGCAAGAGAAGAAGAGTGAGAGAAACAGAAAGTATTAGAAAAAGAAAGCAGAGACAGCTGAGGGACAAAGCTAGGCCTGGGAGGTAAAGGTGTCCTTAAGTCGCACATTCACTGTCCGTGATGCTAACCAGGGCTGACACAAGACACACACAAACACACAGAAAAACAGAGCACACACTCACAGACTTAGATATGGTGTTGTGACGCTGACACTTTTCTATTATTGTCCTCTGTCTCGCTGATCTCAACTTGACACTAGAGCGCCATTGTAAAGAGAAAAAACAGAGATAGAAAAAGGGAGGAATGTGCAAACCAAAAAAGAGTTCACATGAGGCAAAGAAAGACTTAAAGAGAATTCAAGTCTGGATGAACAGACAGCGAGAGGGTGGAGGTTCAATATGAGCAGCAAGAAGAAGAAACGAACTGGGGGAAAAGTTATGTAGAATTTAAAAGGTTGGCTCTGAAACCGTGAAATACTGCTTTTCTTCAAACAGGAATTAAAAAAATATAAATGTAAATAATCCCCGTTTCCATTTATTTATATGTATATGAGAAAGCTGAACATCGCACCCATATGTGATTGCGATATCTAATTCTGAAATCTTGGACATTAAGTATTAATATGCTGAATAACAGCCACTCCTCTGGCAAGGCCGTCCACAAGTTGTTGGAGCTCCATTCCATTCAGCCACGGGGCATTAGTGAGGTCAGGGACTGATGTCGGACGATGAGGCCGGGCTGACAGTCCGTCTTATTTCTTCCCAAAGGTGTTGGATGGGGTTGAGGGTCAGGTCTTTGTGCAGGCCAGTCAACTTGTTTTTCACCACACTCAGAAAACAAGTCTTTCATCAAACCCTTGCTGTATGCATGGGGACAGGAAAGGGCCTATTCACCACAAAGTTGAAAAACACAAGAGAATTGTGTGATGAAGAATTTCAATTTTCTTTAACTGGAACTACAAGGAGCTTAACCCAAACACTGCTGTGGAGACATACTTTTAGTGTCTTCCATAACTGCCCTTTGTGTCTTAGTGTTGTAGATTATGTTGTGATTTATCTTAGTTTAGAAAAATATGTGCATGATAGGAGCAAGGTTTACAGGCAATTGTCCTATTACATCAGTTATTACCCGATATTTCCAGAATTGAATCCCTTTTTATTGACGTGCAGTCCACAATATATTGTTTTTCCCTTGAGTTTAGTTCCATATATGGCATAAACAAACTGAAAAAGCTATAGAGGTGTGCCTGTGTATTGTGTGTATTTGTAGGCGAGAGTTTGTTTGTTTTGTTTGTATATTTGTGTCAATCAGGCGGTTGGTCTTTTTGTTTGTGTTCGCTCCCTCCCGTGGGGAAGAACTCCCCCTCATCATTAGTAATGATCCAGCGGCGGTGAAAGGGCCAAGCCACAGTCTCAGCCCAGAGAGAGATGAATATTTGATCAGCCTCCTCTTTGCTTTCTCTCTGTGTGTGTGTGTGTGTGTGTGTGTGTGTGTGTGTGTGTGTGTGTGTGTGTGTGTGTGTGTGTGTGTGTGTGTGTGTGTGTGTGTGTGTGTGTGTGTGTGTGAAACAGACCAGTCCACGAGGTCAGTGCAAAGTACGGCAACTTCACATTTTTCATCCCCCCTGCCTTTTCTCACCTTCACCTCTCGCTGCCTCTCTTCTCACATCGTTCCTTTCTTCACCTCCACCAACCTCTTTCTTTTTCATCTCCCTCGACCCCTCCACCCATATGGTTCATTTTGGTCTCATATGACCTCTCCCTCCCTCCCTTGTCTCTCTCCTTTACCTTCTCCCCCCTCTGCTCTCCTCCTGTAGGAATGTTTCAGAGACCGAGGTGGACAGGAACAGTGCTGTACGCTGTGTAACATGTTCTTCACTTCCGCCATTGTGGCCCAGTCGCACTACCAAGGCAAAACCCACGCCAAGAGAGTCCGCCTGGTGCTGGGGGGAGCAGCCCAAGCCTGCCCTCAGCCATGACCAGCCCACAAACACAGGTATCACACACCTTTACTTTAAGTATATTTTGATGCCGATACTTCTGTACTTTTATTTAAGTAAGATTTTATACGCACAACTTGACTTCTTCTTCTTCCACTACTGCATCAGTCGAGTTTGTAGGGAAAGAAAGAGAAAAGAGTATAATCCAGATCCTGTCCTTTTACTGGTCAGACCTGAAAGTGAAACTTGACACGTCTAATCTATAAAACAACTGACTGTAAACCAGTGCTTTGGTGATCAGCTGTTTCTACACAAGCTGATCAATACCTCTATTGAATTCCGATCATGCTGTTTGAACACTGACTCCCAAAAGTAATTACCTTAGTCGAAAAGACACCTCACCTCTGCTCGCACACGCTTCTGTAATCCACACATCTAGTTTTTGCAACTTTTGCACTGGAGTGAGAATTATTTTGAGTTCAAAGCATACATTTTTTATCAGAAGTGGATTTGGAAAGCTTTAGTCATGCTTCAGTCAAAATGTCTAGCCTGGATATCAGAGGGAAATGTCTGGGAATGCTAACATGCCAGAGGCCAGGAAGTTACACTTTGAAGGTGAAGCTCACAGACAGCCTTTCATTTTTTCTGGTAAGTATAAAACAATGACTTAAAAAAAATCAAGGCATGCACAATTTTTATATTTTTGTTCATGCTTTCATGATTGATTAAGATTAGCATTTTTCGAATAGTCAGTGCTCGTGTGTCGTCTCCAGGGGAGCTTTACATAATGAGGTTCAAATGTGAATTCAAAGAGAATTCACAGCGCTATAAACACACAATGGCCACAAAATGGAGTGTTATAATCAAGCCGAGTGACTTCTGCTAAACTTTGGCCTACTTTGTAGAAGTGTCACTTCTGTGCTTCCGCTGCCGTGGAGTTTGCGTGGTTTTGTGACAGTGGGACCTGGAGGAAACAAGAGAACAAGAACAAGAAGAGAGAAAGAGTGACCTGGGAGAGAAGAAGAGGATTTCAGGAGAGATTAAAGTCAAAAGTAGCCTTCATGATCGCTCTGAGATGAGCGCTCCGCAAAAGATGCACAGCCAAGCTGACAGGCTTGAGCGGACAGAAAGACGCTCATGCACACACACAATCATCAGAAACACACATTAGCAGGATGACTTATACATGCACATTCAAATTAGACATTCACTTGCTTCTCAGGACACATGGACACTAACATACACACAGAAACACACTCCAACACACACATCAACACAGAGCACACAGTGAGAGAGAGGAAGCAAAGGCCATGTGTGTTGGAGAAGCCCTTGAGAGGTGGAGAGCAGAAGCTGTACCTGCATTCCCTCCCCTTTCACACATCACACACACTCCAAACCACCACCTCCTCCTCCTCCTCCTCCTGCGCACACACTATCACGCACACTTCCTGTGCCCCATTCCGTGAAAAACACTTACTTCTGCTCCACTGTGCTGAGATCAGAGTCATGGGAGAAAGGGAAGGGTGGGAAAACAAGGGACGGAGAGGAACATTGCACCAGAGGAGCTCGGCTCAGCACGAGCTGTGCCACAGGGCTGTCAGAGCTCAGGATCTTCACTCATGCACGGACACACACACACACACACCACACACACACACACACACACACACACACACACACACACACACACACACACACACACACACACACACACACACACACACACACACACACACACACACACACACACACACTGCACCAGAGATTTTTGGATGAACTGTTTCAGGACGGAAAAACGAAATGACAGTAGAAGAGTTTATTGGGTTGAGTTCTGTAAGTGAGATAATAGTGTGGCAAAGGCAAACACAAGCAAAGGGAATGTGAGTGGGTGTGGCTGGTGAGTTGAGCGGAGACACAGCCATAGATACAGTTACTATGTGAACAGAGCCCGAATACACATCAAGGTATGAGCAACCAATCAGCGTGCAGGGCTAGAGTCAGGTCAACACAGGCGCACGCACAAAAAATAATACTCATTGTCACTGGCCAAAACTTCATGAGTGCTCTTTATTTGTTATCAGTGAGCTGATGGTTATTGTGAAAGAAGTGTTATGACTCAAATTTGGGCTCAAAAGCATGTGTGTGTGGGCTTTTGTCCATCAATATCAAATGTTTAAAACCTGTGTTATTCAAAGTGGTTCTCGTCATTGACACATTGTAGATGGCAAATCGGCACATTTGGACATGCCATCTGTCATTATGAGCTTTCGCACACGATTTGGCTGTGGACCTAGCACCCCCTCACTGTGATCAAATACACAGTTTGAGCAGAGAGGATTCCTTTAACACACACACACACACACACACACACACACACAAGAGCTTTAATCATTCTTACACAATCACAGGTATTCACACATATGCATTATACATTCATTACATTACATGTTACTTGTTAGACGCTTTTATCCAAAGCGACTTACATACTTAATACTGTGGACAATCACCACAGGAGCAATTTGGGTTGAAGTGTCTTACCCAGGGACACAACGACATGCTGACTGCAGTGGGGTTTGAACCTGTGCTCCCCTGAGCCGAACATCAACGCACTATCCACTACGCCACAGCCTCCCACATTCAACTGCCACCCAATCAGCCAATGCACACAGACACACATGCAGTCTTCGCTGCGTGAGACACAACCGTGTCCTGTGGACAAGTCAGTGCCTGTTGGCTATTAATGGGCAATCACCATGGTAACCAGTGTCATGTCACGAGTAGCAGGTCACCTGGAAGTTTGCCATTTCTTGTTTCTTTTTTTTCCATTTCCCAGTTTATTTCCTCATAGAGGAAAATAAATGAAGAGGAGAGAAGAGGGGAGGAGAGGAGAGATAGGGATGAAAGGGGAGGAAATATTAGATGAAAGGATGTAGGTACAAAAATAAGATAGATCAGGAAGGTTCAGACGTAGTAGATGTTAGTGGAAAGCACTTGCAGTGTGCTCCCTGGATTTCTGATTCCTCCTGACCCTCATCTATGTTTCACAGATGTGACCTGCTGCAATCTACCGCTCCATCAGTAACCTACAGCTCTCACATTTAGTGGGTATTTCATCAGTTTTTTTCAGAAAGACAGTGTCTGCATCTGTTCGATATGAATACATGAATGAATGTCCCTGTTAATGTTATTTAATCATTATATTTAGATTTGATGTGATTGTTTCCTTCAAACTCAATTAGATGTTATACTAATATGCTCCCCCTCCTCCCTGTGCAATCCATTCCTCACCCTCCGTCTCCACTTCATAACTGTTCACATCTTTCCCAGACTCCTCCCCTTCCACCCCGTTGCCCGCAGACCCCGCTGCGTGCCCCACTCCTACCCCTGACCTGGCATGGCCCCTGGGCGTGGTCGGGGGAAACGGTGGAAGAGAAGCGGGGAAGTACTGCCTGCTGCCTGTGCGGCGCCTGGTTCAACAACCCGCTGATGGCCCAGCAGCACTACGAGGGCAAGAAACACCGCAGGAATGCAGCCAGAGCACGCCTCCTGGAGCAGCTAGCAGGCAGTCTGGATGCCACAGAGAGCACAGGTCAGACTCCTGGCCCCGGGCCCACACAAGTGACAAGAGAAGGGCAGACGGGGAGTTAGCACTTTGTAATACGAAAGTTGATAAGGGGGAGATCAGATTCAAGATCTGTGGCAGCAAGGGTGGACTGAAATGTTCATATGCCTTTCTATGTGGTATCCATTTCACCGATTTCTTACTGAGGAAAGCCACACCCGTTATTCACAGACAGAATTAGCACCACCAGCAAGTTACTGTTAAGGTCGGCTTATTCACATTCACTGTGCATTCTGATGAATACGGGTTCTGTGACCCACTACCGGTGTCCTTGAACCATATCTGTTTCTATTAATTATGTGCAATACTTTGATTTACATGCTGCTGCATCGAAAACAAATCAAAAATGATAGAAAACCTTCATTTGATTCAAAGCTTTATACTTCTGTCGTAGGGTGATCACAACATATTTAAATGTTCAAAGGCATTGTTTTTATTGTGAAACTCTGTCTATGTCATTTGTGTTTTTGAAGAAGCACCAGATATATCCAGATATAGCGGTTCGGGTTTTGAAGCTACAGATTTCTCAAAGAAAGCTGACAAATTGGGCCATGTAGTTCAAAAACATGGTAAAGAACAGCCGTGGGTAAAACAAATAATGGGGCTGTCGAGTTGCATTAATTGTACCTGTAGGGAAACAGGTGTTTTGGAGCTCGATGCCCTTGCTTGCCCTCTGCTTATTTACTTTCCATTGCTTTTTCTTAAATCACTTGAGGAAATGTAATACAAGATCATAAGGGTACTAAGCTAAAGATAAACAAAATCATATAAAGCTCATCCATCATCACAAACATGTGTTTCTCCCTAGAAGTGTTTCTGAATGTTAACACATCAGTCAATCCTCTCCATGTTGGTTGTCTGTGGTCACAGTCCCCCTCATATTACAGCATAGCTCTGACACTTGTTACTAGTGCCAGCCAGTGCATCATGTTAAACTGTCCTGACAAAGTAATGGGACCTACAGTATGTTGGCATGCTGCATACATCATACCTACAGTAAAAGGAAATACATTACGTTATCATCTAACAACATTATTTCTGCTGAAGGTTAAGGATGAGTGCCAAAGTAAATCAGGAACTTGTGTTTACGATTGCACTGAAAGGTTTGGTTTTTTCTGTTCTAGAATTAATTTGTAAAACACAGGTTTATTTAATTACGTAGCGATTCCTGGGTTTTTAATTTATATTCTTTCTCCCTCCTACACAAATACTTCCATGCACAAATGTAGCAGCAAGAGGACACTTATTCACATGCTCACACACACATTTATGCCAAGAAGGCTATTCTAATGAAATTATTAATAGTCTTTGGCACAGGAAGTGATTTTTTTTAAATTCCTGGTTCCTATGAAGTGATATCGTCTAACAGCCTCCTACTGCAGCAGCACACAGCCCAACATACTGGGTGTTTCTCAATGTCGAGTACGCTTGCTTGGTAGCACATGTCTGCCGAGCATCTTGCTTCAGAAGCGAGGCAAGAATCCTTCCTGGCATTCGGAAAACGAAGAGTGGAACAGGCGAGCAAGTGTGCGTCATATGTAGTGGTGGCGCTAGGGGGTGGCTACTTGGGCTCAAGCCCCGGATGTTTTCTGAAAAGCCCCGGATGTTTCACTTTAAAAAAAAATTACATTTTTACGCTACGTAATTAAATAAACTTGTGTTTTACAAATAAATTCTATAACAGAAAAAACCAAACCTTTCAGTGCAATCGTAAAACACAAGTTCCTGATTTACTTTGGCACTCATCCTTAACCTTCAGCAGAAATATGATGTTGTTAGATGATATAACGTAATGTATTTCCTTTTACTGTAGGTATGATGTATGCAGCATGCCAACATACTGTAGGTCCCATTACTTTGTCAGGACAGTTTAACATGCTGCACTGCTGGCACTAGTAACAAGTGTCAGAGCTATGCTGTAATATGAGGGGGGGGGGAAATTACATTTTTTTTTTTTTTTAAACGTCTCGGGAGTAATGTGCAGTACCGGAGTCCACCAGAGAGGCAGCCGCTGCGGGACAGTAGCCTGCGTACTGCGTAGCCTTCCCTGCCCTTAAGAAGAAGTGATCCTTCCTAGTGCCTGACGAGTTTTAAACCTAATAGCCTATAAAGTTATGGATATTAGAACGTTATTTTCATCGAAGCAGCGCCAACAAGCTGCAGCAGCAGCAGTATCAGAAGCTGACAACAATGTCACCACCAGCAGTGAAGAAATGGATGATGTTTCAGGTTTGTGAATCTAATGGTGATATCTGCACTCTGGCTGACTGAGTAAGAAGTGAAAAAGAGTGATGTAACCAGTGGCTTTTTTATATACAAAGGTGGTGGGGCACAAAAAACGTAGATGTCTATAAGCTTCTGCAGTGACGTGCAGTGAGGTTCATGGCTGGTGAGGCACTGACTCTTCAGGTTTACAAATATTATATTTTGACCTATTTCAAAAAATATTATTTCAAAAAGCTTTTTTAGTCTGATTCTATCGATTAATTTAAACAGACAGTTCAACAAAAGGATACCCAAAAAATGTAATTTAATCATGTAATATTAAATTGTTCTCTCTTAGTAAGATCCCATTTTCAATAAAATTGTGGTCTTACCTTGACCTTGAAGATGAAGTCCATTTGCCTATCCCTCTGGACAAAAAATCTCTATTACTTTTTTGTAAAGTCCTCCTTATCTTCTTGTAGTTTCAAAAGTCATTCGAAAATTATAAACGTAGGGTAGACATGTGGATATTATCCGGCTGAACAAAACGTGCATTTATCTAACCGGTACGTTTCCCACAGATCTTATTTCGAGCTATTTTCTAAAATCCTATGGAGAAATGTCATTGCTTTTTTGTCGAGGGAAGCCAATGCGCAGCTTACTTCCTGGTTTTAGGACGCGTCACTGCACCTCTCTCGTCTCCTCTTTACACACCACACTTTTCACGGCACACGTACTTACAGCCAATCAGCTCTGAATTATGTGAGATGGAGTATGGTGGGGATGGCAAACTCAGTGCCCCTATGGTCAAATAGGGAAAATATTCTGAGCATGCGCAGTGTAGTTTTTACAGTCACCGTTCACTTAGACAGTGAGAGGGAGGGGCAATGATCAGGTTATGTCCCACATGGCTCCAAAACAGCTCAATAGGCACACACTGTAGACACTAATATATATATATATAATATATATTAACCCTTTCCCCCTCTCTGACCAAACAAACTCATACAGTTCACCCATCGCCTCCCCCGTCCCGCCCACCCCCCCCCCCCCCCCCATCCAGGAACATCACCTTCCGTAATTTACGCTCTGTCGATCCCCAGTACCTCTCCGACCTGCTATCCTCTACTCTCCCCTGGACTCGAACCTCAGCTCACCCGATGAAAAACTCCAACCACCTTAATTCCACCCTACTCAGGAACAGCAAATGTGCAAATGTGTTTGTCCCTACTCCACTTAACATCAATTCAGACATCATGACCACAATTCCATCAGATTTAATGATAAAAACCTAGAGGGACATTATTCAACTTCTGAAATCCTCCTCTTGCTGCCTTGATATTATTCCAACAGGATTTTTCAAAGATGTTTTGCCTTGCATGGCCTCAGATCTACTTCATATAGTAAACAAATCTCTTCACTCAGGTATTTTTCCACAAGGCCCTGAAAACTGCAAGTCATTAAACCGCTCTTAAAAAAGAATAATCTAGATGCTTCAGTAATGAACAATTACAGGCCCATATCAAACCTCCCATTTCTAGGTAAATCATTGAAAAAGTTGTTTTTTCAACAGTTGAGTAATTTCTTGCATTTAAATAACTGTTTGGATTGTTCCAGTCAGGCTTTCGTCCAAACCACAGCACTGAGACTGCTCTTGTAAAGGTCTTTAATGACATCCACTTAAACACAGACAGTGGCAGAACTTCAGTGTTAGTATTATTAAGATCTCAGTGCTGCGTTTGACACTGTTGACCACAGCAATATTACTAGAACCGACTGGAGAACTGGGTGGGACTTTCGGAAAACAGTTCTAAATTGGGTTTGAATCCTACTTAAAGGACATAGAACAACTTTGTTTCTATAGGTAAATACACATCTGAGTTGACAAATATGACATGTGGGGGTTCCTCAAGGCTCCATCTTGGGGCCCTCTTCTCTTTAAACATCTACATGCTACCACTGGCTCAGATAATGAAGAACAACAAAATAAGTTACCATAGCTATGCAGATGACACACAAATTTACGTAACAATTCACCAGGAGACTATGCTCCAATTCAAACACTGAGTAAGTGCATTGAACAAATCAATGACTGGATGTGTCAGAACTTTCTCCAATTAAACAAAGATAAAACTGAGGTAATGGTTTTTTGCAGGCCAAGGCAGAACGTATAAAAGTTAGCGCTGAGCTTCAGTGTGCAATGTTCAAAACAACAGATAAAGCCAGAAATCTAGGTGTAGTCATGGACTCTGACCTGAGTTCAACAGTCACATTAAAACTGTTACTAAATCAGCCTACTATCACCTAAAGAATATATCTAGGATTAAAAGACTAATGTCACAGCAGGATTTGGAAAAACTTGTCCATGCTTTTATCTTCAGTAGACTCGACTACTGCAATGGTGTCTTCACAGGTCTCACTAAAAAATCTATTAGGAAGCTGCAGCTAATTCAGAACGCCGCTGCTCGAGTCCTCACTAACACTAAGAAAGTGGATCACATCACTCCAGTTCTGAAGTCTTTACACTGGCTTCCTGTGTGTCAAAGAATAGATTTCAAAATACTGCTGCTGGTTTATAAAGCACTGAATGGTTTAGGCCCAAAATACATTTCTGACCTCCTGCTAAATTATGAACCATCCAGATCTCTCAGGTCTTCAGGGACTGGTCAGCTTTCTGTCCCCAGAGTCAGAACTAAACATGGTAAAGCAGCATTCAGTTATTATGCTCCAAATATCTGGAACAAACTCCCAGAAACCTGCAG